CTGAAACATTTCAGCACTTTCAGGACCTTGGACAGTTCCTTCAGTCCTTCACACTGTCTAAATTCCTGAAACTTTCAGCACTTTCAGGACCTTGGACAGCTCCTTAAGCATTTCACAATGTCTAAAGTCCTGAAACATTTCAGCACTTTCAGGACCTTGGACAGTTCCTTCAGTCCTTCACACTGTCTAAATTCCTGAAACTTTCAGCACTTTCAGGACCTTGGACAGTTCCTTCAGTCATTCACACTTTCTAAAGCCCTGAAACATTTCAGCACTTTCAGGACCTTGGACAGTTCCTTCAGTCCTTCACACTGTCTAAATTCCTGAAACTTTCAGCACTTTCAGGACCTTGGACAGTTCCTTCAGTCATTCACACTTTCTAAAGCCCTGAAACATTTCAGCACTTTCAGGACCTTGGACAGTTCCTTCAGTCATTCACACTTTCTAAAGCCCTGAAACATTTCAGCACTTTCAGGACCTTGGACAGTTCCTTCAGTCATTCACACTTTCTAAAGCCCTGAAACATTCCAGCACTCTCAGGACCTTGGACAGTTCCTTCAGTCCTTCACACTGTCTAAAGACCTGAAACATTTCAGCACTTTCAGGACCTTGGACAGTTCCTTCAGCCATTCACACTGTCAGCAGTGATTCCCAACCAGGGCAGTAAGCAAATTACAGGGGGTATGTGGAAAAATTTCCCAGGTGTGTAAAAAATAGGACTGAGGTACTGTAGGGCTCTATGATTTCTGCAATGTGGAAATTGCAGATGGAATCACAGAATTAAAACAAAATTGAATCCAGTATAAAATGTGGAATCTCAGAATTTGCTCATTTGGGTGAGTTTCTAACATTTTTGGACAATACAATGTATTTTGGACACCGAAGTTTTCTGCACCTGACATTACCTGGTTTATTTATTTAATTACTTATTCACTTTCAAGGCAACATTTTCTCTTCATGTTTAATTTGAGTTGAAAATAAAATGCCTGAGAACTAAACGTTCTAGGGGGTTAAATAAATAATTTTCATTTAATAATCAGTAATAGTACATTTTAGTTTTGGAGAATCATCATTATGTTTGACTGAAGGGGTACTAGTCATATGATAAAATGGCTCAGGGGTACACACGTCTAAAAAGGTTAGGAAGCACTGTTCTAGATTGTTAACACATCAGTATGTTTTATCACTTGCATTATCAGTCATTGCGCATGTTTATCATTAGATTTGGTTGCAACAAATGCGATATTCTTGGGGCAATGAAACACTCGTTTTTTATTGTTTTTATTTAAATCCAGATGGTTGTTTAAAAAAACAAGGAGATGCAGCATAATTTCAAACTAAGTATTCATAATATGATTTTTTAAAAACGATTTTATGCATCAATATGTGGGAGAATGTGTATGTATGTACAGAGATTATTGAGATAAAGATCTTGGTTGTGCCTTATCATTTAAAAACAAGTGAAATAAAAACTGTAAATTGTAACAACTACATTGTCTGAAACACGAGTTTCTTCTTGTAGGAAGAATTGATTTGTGGACATTTAATGAGTCCAGCCACTTAAAGTTTAACTTTTAAAACTCTAAATTATAAAGATATTAAAATAATTTCTCCTAATGCTAATGTTATTCTAAATAACTAATCAAAATTAGGACCGAAAGAGTTGGACTGTGAGACATGCCTTTGTTTATGGGTGTGGTTTAATTAAATGTTATGACGGCCTGCCATAACACGTGACTATGACGTCGATGATATTTACCCGGAAGTGCGGAAGACGAAGACGAGGACCGAAACCAAGATCTGAAGTTTCACTGGCAACTTTTACTGTACTTAACGTAGTTTTTTGGCTGGTTTTGTTCGTGGTTGATTGTTGAGCTTTTCGAGAACTTCTTTAAGATGCCGGCCATGGAAAGTATCCTTTAAAACGACGAAAAAGGAGCGAAAACAGACGGTGGGATGGTTACAGGAGCTAAAAGGAGCGAGTACAGCGCTGTAGCTTATTCATGATGATGGTGAGATTTATGGGTGACAAACACGAAACCCGTCTGGGTGTTTCACGTCCAGATCGAATATTATTTTGTGTTTTGGTTCATGGCCTGAGTTTTACCGACTCGGTGCTGGGTATCGTTCAACTTTTAAGAAAGCTGCGCTAAAGGCCTCTGAATCTGGAATCGCAACAACAAGTCGCACTTTATTTACAGCTGAACGTCACGGTGTCAATTTTCAATTTATTAAAAACACCGCGACAGGGTGTTCACTTAAAGTAAAACATGACGTGTTCACGTGACATCAGAGTGTGGGAATATTCAGTTTTAACCTTCGCCACTAGGAACCAATACACTCTTTATTCAAATTAATAGGAAACGTCAAAATACGTGTTAGATAAAGCGTATTTGTCACCTAATAAATGTTTGAAATACTTGCTATTGTCGTCGGAAACTTGTTAATTTTAAGTAACATACTTAAATATATTTTTATGTGAACTAAATAGTTATTATTGACCAGCTAATGGGTACACAAATGTGATTTTTTTTTGTCTTAATTAATTTTTATTTGATTCTTCTTAACGTTTAAAGAAATCATATTTAGTAAATAGGATGTTTTTATTTTTAGTTTTGAAACCAACTATACACTGCCCTCTTGTGGACAAACTAAAATCTGTTTCTGATGCTGAATAKTGCTTGTTTTAAACTACACATTTTAAAACAGTTTTAAGTAATTTCCATCCAAGGTTGTTCTAAACTGTGATCTGACATACATGCTCCAAAGGGGAAACAAACTTGTATTTTTTTATTTGCCTCATTTTTTCCCCTAAGAGTGTGAATTTCCTAAGCTAACTTGTGTTTTGCCCATRCACCTAGACAATAGAGGTTTTTACTACCTGTGCTGTTGTTTGGGTTGTCTTTCTTTAACCTCCTACCTCAGAACATCTCTTCAATTTAAAATTTGCTGCCAAAGAGCTCCAAAGAAATTCAAAGAAATGTGACAAAGAGGAAAAAACTGAGAAGGCAAAAGTCAAGAAGGTAGGTTTTCTCCTTGCCCATCAGCTCGAGCTTAAATGCTGGCTGCGGAGGAGTTAAACGAACCCGTTCATTGTCTCTAGGCCATCCAGAAGGGGAATATGGAAGTGGCGCGGATCCATGCGGAGAACGCCATCCGACAGAAGAACCAGTCCGTGAACTTCCTGAGGATGGCTGCTCGRGTGGACGCCGTGGCAGCGAGAGTCCAGACGGCCGTCACAATGAACCAGGTGCTGCGAAGTCTGAAGACAAACTGTGACCGTGTGGCACTTTCATTTGTTTACATTCTGCTGATGTTCTGCCATATCTGCCAGGTCACAAAATCTATGGCTGGAGTGGTGAAAGGCATGGACGCCACTCTGAAGAGCATGAATCTGGAGAAGGTACAACACTTAATACTGAATATTTATACATTTTTAATTAAAAAAACACTAATTAACCTGGATTATTTTAAAAATCGCTCTTTTATTTTTAGATCTCAGCTCTCATGGACAAATTTGAGCACCAGTTTGAAACCCTGGACGTTCAGACAGCCCAGATGGAGGAYACGATGAGCAGCACGACAACTCTCACCACACCACAAGTCAGTTCCTCTGCTGTACTCTTCCTGTATCAACTCCTTTTTTAAACCACTTTAAATCTAACGTGTGCCGTTTGTTTCAGAACCAAGTGGAGTCGCTGTTGCACGAGATGGCTGACGAAGCAGGGTAACTATTTCATATTTCTTGTCCATCGATTCTTTGTCATAGAACTCGTTCTCAGTCGGACGTGTTGAAATCAGTTGCTCAAAAATGGGCTGATTTTGTAAGCTGTAAACCAGAAGTTGCTCCACCCTGCATGGAGCTGTGTATGAATGAGAAACACACTGCGAAACATTTTGAAAACCTAGCTTAAAAACCTGTTTTACATGTGCAGATTATTTGTCACACTGTAAGTCTAAAATGTAAGCAGGCTTTAGGCGAACACTGTTTTTTCATTTTCTCTATATGGTAACACAAATGTTGATTAAGGAAGACTTTAACCCTTTGATTAGAATTACAAGTTTATTTTAAAAATATTTGTGTTGTTTCCTGCTGTACATACTGTATATCATTCAGTTGTACACAGTCGTTCTTTTTAATTTGATCTGAATGGCAATCAGAGCATTAGAAATAAAAAAGGAAATACCCAACAACTGTCCAACATAAATTTACAGTAAATATTTGTACCTAGACATGAAAAAAGTTGGGAAAATTATCAGWAAATTGCGAGGAATTAGAAAAATTGGGGAGTTTTTAAAATAAAAATTGTATTGGACTCGTATTTTGTTTAGGTCTCGTGTTTTTGCACAGTTTTGTAAAATCAAACAAATGTTTTAATCGTTTTTTTTTTTTTCCTGCTCAGTCTGGACCTGAACATGGAGCTCCCTCAAGGACAGACCGGATCAGTTGGTACCAGCGTGGCTTCTGCAGAACAGGTATTCACGCTTTTCAGTATCCGTGATTGTTTTTTATTGCTTGTAAAAATGCAAACGCGACCCGTTAACTGATGAAATATCAAGTCACCGAGACTTAGCGGAGTCAGAACCTTGATTTCCGTCTCATCTTCCTCGCTGACAACTGTGTTTGTCTCTCTTTTGTTTAAAGGATGAATTGTCCCAACGGCTCGCAAAACTCAGAGATCAGATGTGAAGACTGAATGCAGCGGACCGGCACCAGAGCAAAGAGTTCTACCAAACCTGTACACTACCTGAATATAACTCCCTCTACTGACACGTCTTCTTTCCTCGTTTTAACATACTTTGTGTCTAAGAAACAGCAGAGGAAGGTTTATTTTTCCTCAGCCATCATGGCTCCTGTTAATATCAATACCATTGGAAATAACTTGTGGAAACATCCTTATTAAAAACATTTGATGGTTGTGGAACATCATAAAAAATATCCACACACAAAAAAATGTAGTATTGAYATAAACGCTTTAAAACACCAACAACTAAATTTATGCTAAATATTTCCCTATTTATTGGTCTGTTTCATGCTTCAGCTCTGAGGTTTTGTACTGTAGTTTGTTTTTCTGCATCATTGCAGACAGAAAATATGCATTTTTCTCTCCTTGGACTGTTGAAACTTTTCGTCTCTGTTGGGGAAACCGACTGTTTTGAGTTGATTGAATCTATTTTATTTGTGATCGATATTTTAAGCAGATCCGTGTTTATTTTTCTGATCACCTTTTGTCATCTTTGCTCATCATTTGGGAGGGGTTACAGTTGAGATATTGAACAAGAGTAAACAATAAAGTTTTATAATGTTTCATGTCCTGTTTTCTTAAAACCCTTTGTTTCAGTAGTTAATCCTTCGCTCAAGAGTGAAACTTTGTGTTGTAATGATTACAGATGAAGTCATGTCTCAGTAGAGTTTGTAAATAACACAAAGTCCAAAAAGGTTCAGTGAAGTTGAATGAACTCTGCTCATTTGTATCAGTCTGTTAAGTCCTGCTGGTGCTGGACTGGTTGTGTTTTGCGCTACCACAGCAAAACACTTAAGTTTTAAATCTCTAAAAAACAAGAAAGTTGGTATTCAAACTTTAAAACTATCAAGAAGCCTGATCATGTGGTGATTCTGTATTGAAGTMTTTTGATGTTCTACAACTTTAATTTGGAGGAAATAACAGTAAAAGGTGTAATAAATCTTATTTTGAAAGTCTTCACATGACAGGAAATGCTCAATGTGCCAAACTTTAAAAAGAAAACACAAACACAGTATCGCCTCAGAGTGAAAATAGTGTTATTGTGAAAATGTGAATGGATTTATAGAAAACAATTGCGATATTTATATATTGTATTACTGAGAAAAACATTTTTGACGGCCTCGTTTTAATTGTTTTAAAAGCTAGCGTTCCGAATAGAGGCGTTTCCGGTCCAGCGTTTCAAAAATAAATCCAAGTAGCATCTGCTAGACATTGCTTGCCTTTAACTAACTTGCCTCAAAAATAAATATGGCACCGTTTGTCTTAAGTTTTCAAATATTTATAACTATTTTCGGGATTTATTTACATTGAAGATTTTGTTCATCAAATTTGTTGTGTTTCCCCTCTAAAATAGACTTAGGCCTACTAGGCGTATAGTTCACTCCAAGATGTCAATCCTAATCTCATCCTTTCAACTTTCAAATTAAATTTAATCACCTTAGACAAAATTGTTGTAGGGCACCTGTGAGACAACACTCAGGGAATCACAACCCTCGTGACCATCATGTGACTTTTGTCGTAAACAGGAAGCAGCTGATCTTCACTCCATGGTCTGCTTTAAACGAGTAATATGTACAGCCGAATACTCCAAAAACAAATAAAAACTGCTGCCTAAAATAGTCCGAACAGAACTAATTGTTCTACCCTTTGAGGGTAAGTTAAAAAATGTATATTTAATTGTTTCTTTGTCAGCTCAGCCGCTTTGTTTGGACAGGCTAACCTGTGTAGCCTTGTTAGCTTTAGTTAAAGTGTTTACTCGGAGCAGGAAAAACAGTTTCGGTAACATTTAGTGCGCAGTTTGCATTTTATTTTGTAGATAAAAATCTTGTAAACGACTACGAGCGCTTGATTAATTGGTCATTTGTGAGTTGAACTGTGTATAAGCACTATGTGGAGCGAAAATAACCAGCGAGTTGTTGGGACTGATTGTTTCCACAGGAGAACCTGAAGCTCAGAGAAATACTCCTCATCGTGTCTCCTGAGGGGGATGTCAAGCACAGCGATGAAGAAAAAGGTAACAAACCAGTATTTATGGATTTTTACACTTTCCAATTATTTATACTGAACTGAAAACTTTAAAATATAGAATAATCTTTGTTATTCAGGATAATCTGAAGCATCCTTATTACTACGTTAATATTTTTTGTCCTGCATTGTGCTACTTTGAAATAAAACACAAATTACTCAAACACAAATTTGCGAAACCTGCTCATTATAATAGAGATCAGTGGGATTTTGGTTTAAAGAGATAAGAAAACCCAGCCCTCTTAGGATCTCTGAAGCCAGGTGAGCCACAGTAATTATGCTGATTAGGGCTGCCACAAACGATTATTTTTATAATCTATTAATCACTGATTATTTATTCGATTAGTCGACTAATCGGATCACACGTTAATTGAATATAAAACATAGAGCTTATCACGTCAGAATGCAGCTGCTATTATATAACCATGGTTAGATTTTAGATATATGCTAACTAAAAATAATTGCTGTGGAAGACAAGTTCTGCTCTGCAGATATTGCACAGGTTTCTCTTTCATTTTCTTAAAAAGATCCCACACTTTTGAGCTCCGTTGCTGGGTAGCCATGACACCAGAGCCTGTCTGTATAATGTCTTGTGACGTCCACGGCCTACCCCAGTTACCACTACTGTGCATGTGTGTCAAGGACAGAAAGGCAGATGTGGCAGTGGAAGGTGYCAAAGCAGTTTGGAGAGAAAAACAAAGTAAAGAACAACAACAAAAAAAAAAAAGAAAATGATTAATCGATTATTAAATTAGTCATCGATTATTTTAATAATCGATTAGTCGTTGATTAATCGATTAATCGTGGCAGCCCTAATGCTGATGTGAACATTTAGGTATAAATTAATGTTGCTTTCGTTTAAAAATCATTAAAATAACCAGACACTTTTAATTTAGCTCAAATAAAATCTGATTCAGTTGTCTTGAACAGTTCAGTCAGTATTTTAAATCTAAATTAGTTTTAGCAAAACGAAAAGTTTACACATTTAAATCATTCTGAAATTGATTTGTAAATCATCACAACTGAAATGAAGTTCATAAATCAGCAAATTTAAACCATCCAAGCTAAATGAAAACAAAATCCTTTGATTGGTTTTTGAGATGAAGCAGTATGTAAAATGTCAGTACAGTTTTACAGTTTTACAGTTTCACAAAACAATTTTTTTTATATAATAAAAACATTATCCGTTATTCGTTTTGCTTTCAGGTGCTCCTGATGGGGAAAAGTGGGTCTGGGAAGACCAGCATGAGATCAATCATCTTTGCCAACTACATCGCTCGTGACACACGTCGCCTTGGAGCTACAAGTCAGTAAAGATTGATCCTACTGAAACAAATCACAATCACCGAGTTCTTTTCATTCACAAACATCAACTTTTCTGCTTTTTTGCAGTTGATGTAGAACACTCCCACGTTCGGTTTCTCGGCAATCTGGTTCTAAACTTGTGGGACTGTGGAGGGTAAAGCTCATTTCATTAGTATTTTAATTTAATTAAATTTTTTTATCATCTTTTACCCGTTTTTCCAAGTAAACGACTTCTCTGATTATATTCACCAGGCAAGATACGTTTATGGAGAATTATTTCACCAGCCAGAGGGACAACATTTTCAGAAACGTCGAGGTTCTTATTTATGTGTTTGACGTTGAGAGCCGAGAGCTGGAGAAGGACATGCACTACTACCAGTCGTGTCTGGAAGCCATCCTGCAGAACTCCCCTGATGCCAAAGTCTTCTGTCTTGTGCACAAAATGGACCTCGTACAGGAAGATCAGAGAGATTTGGTGAGCATTTGCATACGTTTCCACATGATTCTACATATAGATACTGTGGGATTTAATAGTCTAATAAGGCAGAAAATTGTTTTTTTTAAATCATTATGTTTACCAATCATGACTCCATCATTTTACTCGCAATTAAGTTTAATTACTTGAAAATGTTTTTTTAAAAACTTGCCATAAAATGCCAAATAATGTCAATTTTTTATTTTATGTCACAGCTTTCTATTTGTACGTGCAGCAAACAGTTTGAGGGGTTTGCCAGTTTAATGTTTAATTTATGTTTAGCTCTAAAATGTGAAGCAAAATGCTTGAAGTTGTGAAGTGAGATGAGGAAAATATTAAGATTTAATGTKTGAATTTTGCTTTTTGTGCAAAGCAGTATTATTACCTTTTTCTTTTGTTTGAACAGATTTTTAAGGAGCGTGAAGAAGATCTGAAGAGACTGTCCAGACCTTTGGCCTGCACCTGCTTTAGGACATCAATCTGGGATGAAACCCTGTATAAGGTTGTGAATCTCATGAGCAGGATTTTGAAAATTAAACTCTGTCGTAATTTAAAAAAAAAACAAAACTCTAAAACATAAACATGTTGCAGGCTTGGTCCAGCATAGTGTACCAGCTCATCCCAAATGTCCAGCAGCTGGAAACAAAYCTGAGAAACTTTGCACAGATTATAGAAGCAGATGAAGTTCTCCTGTTTGAGAGAGCCACCTTCCTGGTGAGAAACACCACTTCCTGTGTTTGTTACCTTGAATCTGATCTGGAAATTTTTTTWAAATTATTTTCATTTGATGTTTTACGAATGCAGGTGATCTCTCACTATCAGTGCAAAGAGCAGCGAGACGCTCACAGATTTGAGAAGATCAGTAATATTATCAAACAGTTCAAGCTCAGCTGCAGGTAAAACTTCTTCTCTCCACGTGTTCAGGTTTCCTGCTTTGGTTTGGARTTACAGTTTTTCCGTGTCTCTTTCACTCCAGTAAGCTCGCAGCCTCTTTCCAGAGCATGGAAGTGAGGAACTCCAACTTTGCGGCCTTCATCGACGTCTTCACCTCCAACACGTACGTCATGGTCATCATGTCGGACCCCTCCATCCGTAAGTCGCTAATGAAACACGAGGAAGTGAGCAAATCTGAGCAACACCGCTCTAATGATGGTTTGTGATTTTTTTTTTGTTTTGTTTTCCAGCATCTGCAGCAACTCTCATCAACATCCGTAATGCTAGGAAACACTTTGAGAAGTTGGAGCGGGTGGACGGACCCAAGCACAGCCTGCACATGCGAATGCGCTAGCCTCCTCTCGGCCAATCAATCCACAGCGCGGCGGCGCATCGCAGACTCGCAGCTCCGATAAATCTGATCCAGCCCTGCATCGTTTCTACAATATCTTCAGTTTCAATCACAGTAAAAATAGAAAGATAAAGAAATAGTTTCTTCGCGTCCACTTTCTGCACTTATCAGAAGTATCTTGATACTTTCTGTTGAAATATTTGTGCTAATTTGACACATTAAAGCAGAAAATGTTCGACGGGGTGGGGGTGTTTGCTGTCACGCTGGGTTTATTTACTCTATGCAGCAGATCCTGGTGATTGGGAATGTCACGCAGTGCCAAATAAAAAGAGAGGCAGCGTTTGGTTTTTAAATAAGCTGACCACAAACAATATAGATGTATTTAGAAGCATGTTTCACGTGTCTTTTTTTTTTCTCTCTCTCTCACTCTCCTGGTCGTGTTTTGAACAGATATTCCTGACGACTCACCACGCTGCAGCAGCTGTTTGAAACGTCGCGTGTAGCGCAGCTGTCGAGTAAACTGAGCCCAGAGCTGGAGCAGCTGCTTAAAGGCACAACTGTTCAGTTCTGATTTTAGCAGGCTGTCATGTAAAAAACACACTTTTTAAAGAGTGTCTATCTTTATCAGACAGCTTGAGGAGCTTCAACCAGTGACTCTGCTTCACCTTGTCCTTCTACGTAAAAAGCCCAGCCATATGATGTTATCTACTGCAGTGAAAACACAAGAAACAAGTGTTACAACTTAAAAACAAATTTCGGAGCAAATAGATTTTTCTTCAAAAAAACTTTAATTTAATCCGTTTTTGAAGAAGGAATTTAAAAGAAATCCATACCAGGGCTAAACCAATCTAATYTGTTTTAGCTGTAGGTGAGTTAAGGTTGATTTCTGTTGAATATCAGTCCTTCCTGCCTCTTATCCTGGAATGCAAAAACTAAAAAACTGGGGGGAAACCTACTCAAAGAGTGACTTTGCATAAAATTAATGGACACAACTCCATGCAAGAGCTCACAAATTTTATTACAAGTTCATTTCTGTCACTAAAACAAAAGATATTCTCTGCAACCCATGCTTACATTTAAAAGAACAAAAGCAACATACAATTTTAAACCATAAAAAGGGTTTTTGCAGAAAATATGTAAATATATATATATATATATTTTATGGCACCAACTTTAAACATCCCCCAGCAGTAGGAGTTTGGAAGAAAAAAAAAATTAACGAACTCCATTTTGATAGACGCTCTGTGTTTACGCAGCTCTAACTTGGAAAATAATTGTGTGAACGTCTCATTAGATGTTTTGCTCCCAGGAGTGGCAGCGGGAGTCGTGTGTACGGAACCAGAGCATAATGTATGACATGAAGAGGGAACTGAATCCCTCTGCTGATGCACACAAACACTGTAAACACAGGTGACTCCAAACCTTACTGCACCATTTCGTCTACCGTAGCTCTGTTTATTTAAGTTGCATTCAAACTTTACTTGTAGGTTTTCCCACCATTAATGACTTTATTCTGCTTAATGAAGGTAAAAACATTAAAGTCACCCTTTAAATAGCCATTTAACTTATTGTTTGTGACTGTGATAGTTGTTTTCATAAAAACATATTCTTACAATCATAAAAAAGAGGAAGTCCAGCCTCAAGAACATAATAAAAATGAACTATTCATGACCAGGTTCTAAAATATGTAAATCTAACGAAATGTAAAAACAGACAACAGATTCCACTAAGTCATTAATTATTAAACAAATTCAACCAAAGGTTAGACCTCACAATTCTAAGAAATTGCAAAAACCCCAGATAACTCAATCTCAGACTCTACAGGCCTCAGTAAACCGATTAAAGATTAAAGTTCATGACAAAACAATTTAAAAAAAGCTGTAGGGGTTGTTTGGAAGGTTCACCGGAACAAGCTGTCCACAAGAACATGATAGCACAACTGGATGAACCACAAGACTTCTGGAACATTTTCTTTTTGAAAGATGCCACTAAAGTAGAGATGTTTACCCATAATGTGCAACTACGTTTCAAACAAACAAACAAACAAACAAACAAACAAACAAACAAAACATAAGCACAACAATGCACAAACACTTCATCTGCCAAGCACAGTGGTGGAGGGGTGATGGTTTGGGCACCTTGCAGTCACTGAGTCGAACTTGAACTCCTGTATAAAATCATCCATCCATCCATCCATCCATCCATCCATCCATCCATCCATCCATCCATCCTCTTCAGCTTATTCTGTTTCAGGTTTCAGCAGCAGCAGCTTGATCAGGAAGGTCCAGACCTCTCCACAGTCACCTCTTTGAGCTCTTCAGGGAGGATTCCAAGGCGTTCCCAGGCCATTTGAGAGATATAGTCTCTCCATCGTGTCCTGGGTCCACAGAGTCTCCTCCCAGTTGGACATGCCTGAAGCACCTCCCTAAGGAGGCATCCAGGACTGAACTTCTCACCCTGTCTCTGAGGTAGAGTCCATCTACCCTGCTCAGAAAACTCCTTTCAACTGCCTGTATCCACGATCTTGTTTTGGTTTTGGTATAAAAATTGAGTTAGTTAAATGTGAGGCTATCTGTMAGATAAACTGGGTCATGAAAAGGGACAACCCCCCTAAACGCAGCGTCAAATCTACAACAGAGTGACAAAAAAAAAAAGGTTTCCAACGTTCTGGTCGAAGTCCAGACCTCAACCCAACTGATGCTTCAGTGGGATTTAAAGAGATACACAGAAACAAATGTTTACAAATCTCAAAGAGCTGAAGCAACTCTAAAGGAGAATGGGTTAACATTAATTCCCAACAACATGAGAGACTAGTCATACAGAGAACTTCAAGTTTTATTTGTGAGTCTACAAGATAAAGTGTTAAAATATGAAGTAAGTTTTTCACACAGTTTGGCTTCATTTTATTCAATGAACAATGGCGTAGTGGCACAAAAGAAAGAGGCGGGACTTCCTTTTTCCAATGAAAGTAATTCAAATATCTTTTTACTYTTTCAAACTGAGAAATATTTCTCAATAAAAATCCAAAAAGTGTAAAAAGATTCAGATTTTTTATTTTATTTTTTTACTTTGGACTTGCTTTGTTCTGTGTTTGCGCATCTTTCCGATACGGCGACCCGTCTGGGGACCCCTCAGGTCCAGATTCGGTGCTCATCTCTGCTCTCAGGCGCTTGCTCGCCCCTGCGCCGCAGTCCGTTTGACTCAGCTGCCGCTCCAGCAGAGTGATGCGCTGCTTCAGCCTCTGCTGGGTGTCTGTGTATTCACTGAGGAGACGGGAGAAACGAGTCTGCAGGGTGTCCAGAGAGGACTCCAGCCTCTCCACCTTCTCCTCCGTGTCCTCCTTCTGCAGCCCACCCCTCTCTGCGTTCTCATCCAGAAGACCCTCCTTCTTCAGGATCTCCCGCCCCCTGTCCTCCAGCACCGTCTTGGCGTCCGGGTACTCGGTCACCGCCTCCATCAGGTCATCCTTGGAGAGGCAGAAGAGGTCGGAGTACCCCAGGCTGCGGATGTTGGCTGTCCGACGATTCCCCATTTTACTGCCTTTAATGTTCAAAATGCTGATTTCTCCAAAGCAGCTGCCAGCAGTGAGGAGAGCGTACTGCGTGACCCCATCGTCGGCCACCACAGCCAGCTTCCCTTCTTTAATGATATACATCTCCTTACCGATGTCTCCTTTCCGGCAGATGTAGTCTCCTGGACTGAAAACCTGCGGGCGTAGTTTAAGCACAAGCTCCACCAGCAGCCCCGCCTCGCAGTCCTGRAAGATTCGGACTTTCTTCAGCGTGTCCAGGTGTACGTTGATGGCGATCTCAGCCCGCAGTTTGTTGGGCAGGTTCTTCAACACCTCCTGCTCGTCCACGGCCTTCTTGTTCATCCAGAGGTAGTCGAACCATTTAATGACYCGGGTCTCCAGCTCCCTGCTCACCTTCCGGAAGTGCATGTAGTGTTTGATGGCGTCGATTCGAGCTTGGAACTCGGCGCGGGTGGCGTTCATGTTGGCGATCATRGAACCCACGTTTCCCACGATCGTCGCGAAGATCAGCACTCCAACGAGAAAGTCGAAGACCACAAACAGGTACTCTTCGTCCTGCACGGGCGGCGGCATCTCTCCGATGGTGGTGAGAGTGAGAGTGGACCAGTACAGGCAGTAGATGTAGCTCCTGGACAGAGAGGCGTACTCGGGTATGGAGATGTTCGGGAACACCCAAGTGTCCGAGCCGAAGCCCAAAGACTTTGATATGGCGTAGTAGATGCAGGCGTTCCAGTGGATGATGACCAGGATGTAAAGCACCAGGTTGCAGATGCGGAAAATGTTGGGGTAGTTGATGCGCGTCTCCGTGCGGTCGAAGAACTCAAACATGCGTGGGAAGCGCAGCAGACGGTTGAACCTAAGCTGAGGCGTGTGGATGCCGGTGTGGATGTAGACCAGGTCAGTGGGAAGGATGGACAACACATCCAGCTTGAACTGTAACGTTCGGACGTAGCTGTCTCTTAGCTTGGTGTGGTCCTTCACTAGCAGACCCTGTTCCAGGAAACCTGAACCAACAGAGACCAATATCAGTTCTGTGTCAAGTTTCASCTCTACAAACTTCTTCATGTAAAGAGATACAGCTAAACTGTGGTAGGGATTTTAAAAAGTGCAACACATTCTCAGAGAATAATCACTTGATTTCACAGTTTATCTGTTACCTTTAAAGCCAGTGTCTCACTGCCACTGTTGGCGATAATGAACTGAGCCCCCAAACATCTCAAAACATGCATGACCTCTCTCATGTTCATCAAAGAACCTTGATTTGATGTTGCAAGAATTGTGAACATATTCAAATAATTTGAGGACCTATTTTCTCTAAAAGTAGTCACAGTGACGTTACGGGCATCTGTAACCCTTTTTGAACATAGAGAAGAACAAGGAATTTAAATCATCTCTTTTTTAATACTTTGTTTCTAAGGTTCCTACGAAGCCTGTCCGGTGACATTGGATAAAAAAATTAATTAATGCGTGGCCACGAGATAATTATTGCAGTCATTTCTATGCAGACGATTGTTAACATGGACAAGTTTGGATTAGTTTAATTTTATTTTAATACAGGGATGATTGACATACTTGTAGTCAGTTGTAGTTAGGCATGAAGTGATTCTTAATGTCGCAGCTATAAAACACAACTGAGGACTGGATTTGTCTCTGTCCAGAAAGTTTTATTTTTTTTAAGCTCAACACTCAAAACAGGCTCCTCTCTCACTCCGTGTCTTTGCTGTGGAAAAAGTCGAAGGAAAATATTTGTTTTCCAACACAAACTTGGCCGTTCAATGTCATTTTGTAAATACTAGTACTATAAAAATGAATTGTTTAGATAGAACCATTGATGTATATTAT